CGCGGGACCGCGGGGCCGGGGCTGGGGCTGGCTGACCCCCGGCGCCGTGCCCCTGGGGCTGGCGGGCGCCTTCCTGGGCGCGGGCCGCTACCTGCTGCGAGGCGGCGCGCGGCCGCGGACGGCGGCGCTGCTGCTGGCCGCCTGCTGCGGGGGGGAGGCGGTGGCGCGGACGGCGCTGGCGGCGGGGGAGGACCGGCGGCGCTCCCTGGCCGCCGCGGGGGTGGTGCTGAGCTGCCTGGCCGCCGCGACATGGCTGGTGCTGAGGCTGCGGCAGGGCGTCCTCATGCTCGCCGTCACTAGCGCGGCCAGGACCACGTCCCTCGTCGCCTTGGAGAGGGTCCCGGCGTCCTGGCGGCCCTACCTGGCCTACCTGCTGGGGCTGCTGGGCGTCCTGCTGGCCGGCTACGCCGAGCGGCTCTGGCCCCCGCGGCGGGCCGCCCCGCTGGCGGAGCCTCCCGCCGCCCCCCCGGCCGCGGACGAAGCCCCGGCGCTCAGGCGGCGGCGGCGGTCCAGCTCCATGATCTCCGCCGAGATGTCGGGCGGCGGCGGCGGCAAGAGCCACCGGCGGACCTCGCTGCCTTGCATCCCCCGCGAGCAGGTAAGGCGCGGCGAGCGGCAGTGGGGAGGGCGGCGGGGAGCGGAGCGCGGCTGCTGCCCCGAGGGGACGGGCGCGCGGCGACGGGAGCCGCGGGACGGAGCTGCGGGCGGACCCCGGCCGCTCTGCCCCGGGCGCCGGGGACGGAACTCGGAGCCGTTCTCGTCTCACAGCCCGGAGCGGGGTTTACTCCTCGGGAGAGCGGCGGAAAGTTGAGGCGGATGTTACGGTACCGCACCGCCGTGCCCCCCGGAGTCTCGGCCGTCCCGCTGAACCGGCCCGGAGCCGGCGGGGTGCATGCGGGGCGCGGTGAGAGCGGCCCCTGATCGGGGCACGGTTCGCCTCCCCTGCGAGCGGCCCGCCGTGCTTCGCTGCACTTTGCCTCCTCGGGGCTGTGCCTGACGCCGTCCTTCGGCTCGGCGTGCGAACCGACATGGGGTACTGCCGTTCATCTCAACTTTGCTGCCTTTAAGTGGCCGTGATTCGCACGGAGCGGGAAAAACTTTCTCGCCGGTCACAAAGCCTTATAAATGCGCACCTGAAAAAACGGGAGAAGAAACACACGGACATCTTTACCGCACGGCTGCAGAGAGCCCTGCACGCGAGCAGAATTGCCCGCCCGTAGCGCGTCCTTTTTTCTGTACAGCTGAACCCCAACAGAGCCGTCCCTGGCCGGGCGTGCAGCCCTGCGTGGTGGTGCTGGGGGAAACCCGGGCAAAACTTTCTTTTCCAATCGGTTTTGCAAAGGACTCTGTGAGCAGCGCTCACCTGGAGCTATTGCCCCACACCGAAGGTTTCACTCGGTCATTTAGCGGATGATCACCGCGGTGTTTTCTCCATAATGTCACCGAACCAAACGGTGCGGATGGGTGGTTTGTTTCTGGATGTGGTTTGGTTGCATCCCTCTGTGGTCGGTTCTGACATTTGCTAGCAGAGGGCCTGACAGCCTGATACACCTGAGGCTTATTTTACAACCAATGTACTTATTGATTTAGTGTTTCTGTTTAGATTAACCAAATATTGACCACGGCGTCCCAGCAAATATGGTGTGAAAAAATAGAAGTTGGAGTTAGTTCTTACTCTGTTTTCATACAAACCGGGAGAGAAAGGGATGGGAATGATTGGTAAATGCAATATGTAAGGCAAGGAATTAAAACCGCTTCTCCTCGATGAAGCTCAGCTTTTCTGGTGGCTTTTTACAGCAAGCACTTGTAATGTTTTAAACACATTTCCATCCACTCTCACACTTTTCCAGCTCATCTGTTTAAGTGTAACCATTTGGAGATGGGGCTCCCTGGTTGTGGCCGCATCATTCTCTCCCTGACAGAGGCACTGACGCCATGGAGGGCTGCCGTGGACCTGAGGTGGTATCATGCCCTTCTTGTGCTCCCTGTAGGGCAGTGCCAGGTGTGACCCCATGCCAAACTGGGCTGCTGGGTGCTGGTGCTGCTCTGTGCACCCACTGCAGGATTTTGGCAAATTTCGCTTTCTTTTGTTCTCGCTCAGTATTAATCAATAGCGAGATCTGGTGTCGCCTGCGTCACTGCATGGTTTGAAATGGATCACTACTTCCACATCTAGGGCGAGTTTTTCTCTTGCCTTTAAGCATGTTGTGGCTGTACGTGAATGGAATTCCTCAATGAGTGTGGCAGCATGGAGGAATAGAGACCCCGGATCTTGGGGAAGTGCTGCAGGCACTCTCCCACCTCCCAGCAAACAGAGCCTGTGTTTGTAGCCATACATCATCTCCCTGTGGACTTACAGAAACCATAGGTAAATGTTTCTCTTTTGGACAGCTTTTAAATATAACTTGTTAAAAATAGAGAGGAGGGCTTTACAAGCAGGAGCAGGCTTGCTCTCACCCCTGGCATTAGAAACCTGGGCCCAAAGGCACTTGGTGGTGTGTCCAAGAGCCACCACCCATCTCTATCAGGAAATGGATCTGTGTCATTGCACTGAAATGTCTCCTCACAGCTGCTGGGTAACAGTAGGAGAGGTTTTAGAGGTGCTTCCCATCGCCTCCCATGTATTCTTTCCCATTGCTGAGCACTTAAACTTTTATTTTCCTTCCCTCCCTGTTTGCTTCTGTGAATGGAAGAATCTGCAAAAGTTGGAGCTTTCTCCAACTGAATTGAGTTTTGTTTGGTCACACATATCCCAGTGAAATTCTGTTTTTTTCCCCACTAGAACAAAAATTTGGATTTCTTTGACCTTGTGACACAAAGGGCCATACCAGGAGTTACAAAGTGACATCCCGAAGAGGTGCATTAATATGGTTAAAATTAAGAGTACATAAGCTGTGTTTAAGCCACTCATAGGAATAGCTGCAAATGCGTGTGTCACTGTATATTACCCAGTCTGCTGAAACCTCTCATCTGAATCGCTTGTCAGTTCCAAAAGGAGCTTAGAAAGTTTAGTTAAGGAAATCACCACCGCTACCGACGTGCACGCACACACTCAGATAGAACCTTCTTTAAGCTCTTAGCAAGCTCTGATGTAATTCTGGTTGGAGTCTCATTTTGATGCCTTCTCTCCCTCCACTTCATCCCATTCCCTGGATGAAAGGTTCCGTGCTGCCATGTGTGTGTTTCCCATTCCCAGCCCGCTCCTGCCCGCAGCTGAGCACTGCTCCGGTGGTTCTGCCAGCACGGCTGAGGATGTGCAGCTCCTGCAGAGCTCAACTGAGCTCACCCAGCTCAGAGCAGGGAGAAATTGTGAATGGGTGAGAATGAGACAGACAATGAATGAATGAATGAATGAGCAATTATTTTTTTTTCCCCTCTGCAAATGCATAAGCAGCTTTCGGTGTTTCTTCTTCAGGTTTCTGCAGATGTTTTTACAGAGTGGTCTGCATTTTGATGTTTTCAACCTTGTATGTCCACTGTATTCTGGAGTGCTGGTGCCACCTGCCCTGCTTTAAACCAGCGGCAGTGGGAGCCTGGCATTGTCCCTCTTGGTGACAGTGGAGGTGGCCCTGCCTGTCCTCATGGAAAGGCTCCACGAGCCGTGAGCTCCCTATCACGTGTCTGGGGGACGGTGCTGTGACAGAGATGGTCAGAAATGGTGCTCCAGCAATAAGATCAGAGGAGTGGATGAGAAATAGATTTGTTGGATTTATTTTATTTTACTTTACCTTGAAGGAGAAATTCAGCCTTTATCTGTTTTTCCCATTGTTTGGCAGTGAGAGCTCTGTCAGTGCAAGGAACATAACACTTTCCCCCTCCCCTCTTTCCCGGCTCTTTGATATACCCTTCTTTTATAACCAATGGTTAGTGCTGCATATCTTGCCTGTTGACATGGGGGTAGGTAGGTCTGCATGCACACAGAGATTTTAAGCACCGAAGAATTAAAAACAGATAAATGTAGACACTTCCTAATGCACATCTCCTATTAGACACGGGGTGCATTAACCTCCTTCTAATAAGTGTTACTGAGCTGTAATTCCTCTGATAAGATTTACCAGTGGTACCACTGGGGCCACCAGAGGCTGCCTAACACTGCATAGCTGTCACCTGGTGACTGCTGCAACCCATCTGGGTGTGAGCTCTCTGTAAGGCTCCAGGAGGAATCATGCTGCGATTCCAGATGTTTCATACATATATATACTCTCTCTCTCTCTCTCTATATATATATATATATTTTTTTTTTTTTTTGCATGATTTCATTTAGGCAAACCCATCTATGTGTTTTTTGTTTGTTTGTTTGTTTTTTTCACTCTTTCAGCCTCACAAAAAAATTAAAAAACCTGCTGAATGAACTCTGACGGTAGACAAAAATAGAGTCTGACCTGATCGGATAAATCCAGAAATGGATTGGCCAAAAAAAAGTGAAGTCCAGCAGTGACTTTCAGCTCTTTCTGTACGGTGTGAAAACGCGGAGCTGTGGGACTGACTGAAAGCCATCCTGTGTGCGCCGGCTGTCGTGTTAATTAAATAAACAGCCCAACAGTGACCTGTGTGTGTATGAGAGGTGCTCTGCAGAGCTTCCCAGGGCTGGAGGGGAAAGCAGTGCTTTTTGAGAAAGGAGAGTGCTGCTGCAATGAAAGCGTTGGGTGAAGGGCTGTGATTTGTACAGGGAATGTTGGTAGAGATGTGCGACTTATAGTAGATGAGGGAATAAAGGTGAAGGCCCAGAGAACAAAGTGAGAGCTGTTCTTTGGGTGCTTTTTCCTTCTCCGTTGGTTCTGCAGAAGCTCCCGGACAGATCCTTTCCTCAGAGTCCCTTTTCAGCAGTGAGCACTGCAGCTTTGGATCTGTTTTTCAGGTTTTGGGTTGTTTGTGTTTTTTGTGAGTCCTGCTTCGAGTGCAGCGGGAGCATTGGTATCGGAGCAGGGATCTGTGACAGAGAGGGGAAAAGGTACAGCAAGCGGGAGGATAAAAACTCCGCGTCTGCCCGAGTGGGGGGACGTGTCTGTGTTCTCCTCTTTGAGCTGAATCCGGGAGACGAAATGAGATGGGTCGAGGAAGGGCCTCTCTCTCCAGCTGCCGTCCCGTCGCACGGCGCAGCGCGGGCCGGGCCGTGGCCGCACCGCTCCCCTAGGGGGCACGCGAGGCCCTGCGCGGCGCAGGCAGCGCCAAAATCTGTCCGTGGTACTTAACGGGATGGCTTGTCCTTCTTTCCCCCCC